ATAGATAGATAGATAGATAGATAGATAGATAGATAGATAGATAGATAGATAAAGTGAGGTTCTTTAGGAGATTTAGTCTCCCCCACACACAGTTTCTTCATTCACTTCATTTGCTAACATACAAATGATGACAGCGAGTGTTTTGGTCAGAGCTCATATATGAGAGCTCATCGGTGTCCTAGAGGGGCTGGCCTTAAACTCACAGAGATCCTCCTGCCTCTGCCTCCCAAGTGCTGGGATTAAAGGTATGCACCACCACCACCTGGCTCTCTTGCATTCTTACTGAAATTTGGAAACATAAGGACAAGAGAAAAGTCAAATTTGGCAGATTCTGTTTCACACAAGGTTTTTATCAGGCTTTTTAAAAGATTTTTTTATTTATTATATATACATATTATATATATGTGTGTATACAGTGTTATGCCTGCAAGCATGCCTGCAGGCCAGAAGAGAGCACCAAATCTCATTACAGCTGGTTGTGAGCCACCATGTGGTTGCTGGGAATTGAACTCAGGACCTCTGGAAGAACAGCCAGTACTCTTAATCTCTGAGCCATCTCTCCAGCCCCCAGGAGATTTGGTCTTAATTCTGGTAAATATGCGTCCCCGTTCCACACATCCAGAATTTACTACAATGGTCCCATGTTGGATGAAGCTAATGGGGGAACTCACATGGAGATGTTTATCCCCAGGCTTGATATCTCAGGGTACTGTGCTTGATGGCATCATGGCTTCCTAGCCAGCAACCTACACAGAATACTCTGAGGCACCTGGCAGCTAAGCCAAGGCTCCGTACCGCATTTGGAAGGACAGCCAGGTGACATACACCAGCATTCAACTGCAGAGGTAGCCTTCTGTCTCCCTCTGAAGTAGTTTATATACCCGGTGAAAGATTAGTCATTTGACAAAATAATTACAGTGTATTGTTTCTCTGCAGGAACTGTAAGACTGACCAGTTTGGCATGTGGAAATCAGCATATCTGGGCCTGTGACTCCAAGGGTGGAGTTTACTTCCGTGTTGGAACTCAACCTCTGAATCCCAGTCTGATGCTTCCGGCCTGGATCATGATTGAGCCACCTGTCCAGGTAAGCAAAGCCAGCTGGACAGAACTTTTATTAAGAGGGAAGCTGTTAGGGTGCCTCCCAGGCACATGGAGAGGCATGCCCGTAAGTGCTATGGTCGCTTGACATTCCAAGCTTGGAATTTGGTATTGTTACGTTTATAGTTAAACAGGTTATTCAAGATTATTTGAACCAGCACAAGTTTTTTTTTCCCTTTTAAAATAAATATATTTGACTTCTCACCAAATGAAAATTACCCTTTTAAAATAAATTAAACTCTGTTCAGAGATACAAAGAAGAAAGTAAAATTTACATAGGGTGTTGCCATGGAAATATCTGTTCTCAGTGGGCTTTGTTGTTTTCTCTAACAATAGTGGAGACTGAACCTAGGCTCACAAATGCCGAGCACTCTACCCTGAGCTGCAGCCCTGGAGCCCTGGTCCTGTTATTAGTGTTCAGTGAGTGCCTTAGAAGTTTTGTTTCCTCGATTAGTAGAGCGTTTGCCTAGCATGTATGGGGATTTAGTTCCAGCACTGCCTTTCCCAAACCTGTGGAATTGCAGTTTATAGTGTGTTCTCACATGGTTTTTGTTAGTTGCTCCCAAAGACCTAAATAGGCTTGGTTTATGTACTAGATATGTTTCTCTTAAACTATGTAAGGAGAGATAGCTCAGCGGTTAAGAGCACTGAGTATTCTGCTAGATGACAGGGCCTCAACGTTCAGCATCCACATGGTGACTCATTAACCATCCCTGACTCCAGTTTAAGGTGATCCAACATCCTCTTCTGGCCTTGTTGGGCATCAGGCACACATGTGGTACATAGACGTACATACAGACAAAACACTTTATACACATAAAAACAAACAAACATAGGCCAGGCAGTGGTAGCCCACACCTTTAATCCCAGCACTCAGGAGGCAGAGGCAGGTGGATATCTCGAGACCAGCCTGGTCTACAGAGTGAGTTCCAGGACAGCCAGGGATACACAGAGAAAAACAAAACAAACATACAGAAAAAAAAAACTTTATGTGAGGGGCCATAACATCTCCAGAGTTATTTTCTCAGACTTCTGTGAGTTTACAGGGACTTCCTGTTTCTGCTTCCCATCTCTCCATGGAGAACTAGTATTATGGATGCATATGACCACCTCTGACTATGTGGGCTCTGAGGTCCAGAAAGTTGGTTAACTTCATCACTTTTTCAGAATACCCTCTTTGGCTTTATTGATATTCTATGTTGTTTTCCTATGCTTTATGTATTTCTATTCTAACTTTTCTCATTTCTTCCTTTCATTCTGTGTACAGTGCTTTGCTTCATATTGATGCCCCACTGATAGCTCTGAACTATATTTGTTACAGTTATGCATTTTTGAGGCCCCGTGATCACAGTGTGCTGTGTGCAGGCTTTGGCACATAGAGGGTCATAATAAGTAAAGAGCTAGACTACAAGTTATGGTGGCGAAGACCCTGTCCTCAGCCTCCGCCACAGGGACCTCTCTGCCTGCTGGACACGGGGGAACTGGACAGCGTGAGCAATAGCGTTGCCATGAGGACGGTGTCAACACACACAGACTTCTGCTTCTGTCTCCATCTAGTCTCCACAGTAACCTCAAGAAAGCAAAACTAAAATGGAGACGAGAGCTTTAATATGAGTGGCTGAGGTCTCCACTGTAGTGACGGACAGCTTGACCCAGGAGAACACCCAAATAGAACAAAGTCACCTGGAAGAACTTTAAAACTGCTCTGAGGAAAGCAGACAGTTAAATGGCTGTTATATATGCATCCTTCAGTAGCTCTGCTGAGCTGAGCTGTAGTTTCTCATTTTGTACACTCTCCTGTGTTGTAGAAGGAATTCACGATGCCCGGGAATTTGGAACTACAAATGCTCTCTCATTTGTTCCTAGGGGAAGCTTTGTGTGTGTGTCACCCTTAACACTGCCCTTTTCCAGGAAGTGTCCTTTCCTTAATCCTGCTTTTGCCCCAAGAAGCAGAAGCCAGAGGGGTTCCATCTTTATAAGGAAGTGATTTTGCTTAGAATAGTTTAGCAGCCTGCCCAGCATCACAACCCTGCTATATGAGGCAGACTCTAGTGGGACCCAGTCTTGCTCTTGCTAACTGCCCCTGCAAGGCTTCTGGTGGACCTTACACCCTAGGACTATGTCATTTCTAAGGTTAGAGGCAACAGTGAGATATTACAGATGGTCTCCTTGTACCAGCCTAAATGCTTTAAGCACGTGTCCTCCTTCGTGGCAACCCAAAAAAGCAGTTATTTCTGTCTCTTTCTTCCATTCCCCCCCCACTAACCCCCTTCCGCTCTGCACCTGACAGGGCGGGGCCTGGGACCCCCAAGCACCCGAGGGTTCCCACCCTCCACCCCCCACCGCACTGGCCTGCCCACTTACCTGCCGGCCTTGGGAGGTGCTCAGGGCCCGTACCCTCCCACAACCGCGGGCTCCCACACCCAGTGGGGGTGGCACCCCCAAGCCCTGCACCTCAGCCTCAGCCCACCCCCTGCCCAGGAACCCTGTCCTGCCAGAGGGACAGGCAGCTGCCCCCTTTCTCCTTCTTGTTTGGTTCATTGGTTGGTTGTTTTTTTTTTTTTTAAGACAGGGTCTATATCATTTAGACTAATCTCAGATTTACTATGTAGCCAAAGATATGTTTGATTCCTGGTCCTCCAGCTTCTGTATCCTGAGTGGTAAGATTATAGGTTTGCTCCACCAGGTTGACCTTGAACTTGGTGTGCTCTTCCTGCACCTGCCTTCCCAGGTGCTGAGATTACAGGGGACCAAGAAGGCACTCCAGTTCAGAGTGATTCAGAAGTTAGTTGCCTGAGGCCTTATCTCTAGTAGGTGCCCTAGGCCTTTGGCCCAAGATGGAGTCACCTAAAACACCAAGATTTATGATCCATGTGGGACCCAGCCCTGTTGGGAAAATGGAAACTGAACATTCTCCAGTTCCCAGAAGTTTGCTGACTGCTTGTCTCAGCAGAACACTGTTCTAATGGCCAGAGCCCCCCCAACACACACACACGCACACACACACACACACACACACACTTGGCTTATTGCAGCCCCCCCTTTTTTTTTATTAGGTGTACTGTGTTCTGCCTCCATATATGCCTGCAGGCCAGAAGAGGACACCAGATCTCATTATAGATGGCTGTGAGCCAACATGTGGTTGCTGGGAATTGAACTCAGGACCTCTAGAAAAGCAGTCAGTGCTCTTAACCATTAAACCATCTCTCCAGGCCCTGCAGTCTCCTTTGCCTGCAGCAGTTCCTTCTTCCTTAATGCTCTCCCACTAAACTCTCACCCAACTGAAAACACCCTGTAAAACCCAAAGTCCTCCTGGGGACAGCCCAGCAGTTCATACCCTGAGTAAAGCCTCAGTGAGTTCTGGTTCTCTCTTTAAGCCATGCAAGTGTCAGAGCCAGAGTGCAGACTTGGGTGTCTGACACCGGATTTGGTTCCTTCCTATGGCTCTAGGGTCCTAGACCTATGCTGGAACACTGACTGCAGGCACTGTGAGGGTGGCCATGATGCTCCCCTTGAGCTCATTGACATCACTCACAGACTATAAATGACCTGTGTGCCCGTGGTGGCCTCTGCACCTCTACTCAGGCTTTGTGTCTGGTGAAGGACATCTCAGAGCTGAGCAGAGGTAGAGCCACAGAGGGTGCACCAGGCACATGAAATAGCAACAAAGCCTCTCCAGTTAGCAGCAGCTCCTCTATTTTTGTTTCCTGGTCTTTGGTAAAACCTCCCTCTTATAGTGGTTTTGGGGTGAAGTTTCTACAAAGTACTCAAAACAAATGAGTCAGTTTTCAGACTTGCTAGTGTTTGGGAGGCCTTGGAGGAAATATTTTTAGTTGTTTTAGTTGCTTTAGTTGTGGAAGTTTGCAGGGTTTTCTGTCCATATTCAGGGTGCCTCTAAAGCCAGCACAAGTGATGGTGTGTTCTTCATAGCACTACGGGCTCTGTGGGCTAAATAAAAGAGGAATCCTCAGTGCTAGAGAGATGGCTCAGTGGTTAAGAGCACTGAATGCTCTTCCGGAGGTCCTCAGTTCAATTCCCAGCAACCACATGGTGACTCACAATCTTCTTCTGGCATAAAGCCGTACATGCAGATAGAGCACTTATATACATCAAATAGAAAGGAAGGAAGGAAGGAAGGAAGGAAGGAAGGAAGGAAGGAAGGAAGGAAGGAAGTCAGAAAGTCCTCAGGTACTTACATCCCACTTGAGGCTGCGTCTTCTTCCAGGAGAACCCTCCTTAGCATTCATTGGGTCACTCTGAGCAGGTGCTGCTTCTTCCTGATTCATCTCCATTGCTCAGCTGCTGAGCCATCTGCCCCCAGTTGTCTCCGCTACATAGTGTCGTTATTGGACACCCAGTGTTACTTACTCTGCCTAGAGTGTGAAGACGTGGCCTGGCAGAGTGAATTGTATAACACCACGGTCATAGAGCTGGCAAGTAGCCAGGCTAACATGTAAAATGTTATTTAAATTCCACTGTTGTTACTATGTTGTGGTTCTCTGAAGTTTCATTGTGCTGTGCTGGTCTGTGAACATGAGGTCTTCCCATCTTCCAATTCTTTCCTTAGTGTTGTAATGTTTCCATTGCAGAGGCCTCTTACCTCCTTGGGTAGTTTAGTTCGTTTCAGTTTTTATATCCTCTATTGTTGCTTTTTACACTTTACATACACTTTGTGTATGTGGTATATGCATTTGTGTGTAATTTGGGTGCAATTGCCCGTACACGCACACGTGGGAACCAGAGCTCGGCATCTTGTGCCCCTCCATAGCCTTCTGCTTTTGAGACAATATCTCTCACAGGAGCCAACACATAAGCTAGACTGACTAAGCAGTGAGCCCTCAGGGTCAATCTGCTTCTCTACTGTACCCTAGCACTGGGTTAGAGATACATGCTGCTGTGCCCAGCTTTCCCCTGGGGCGGGGGATCTGAGCTCACATCTTTATGCTTGTGGAAAGTGCCTCACCAACTGAACCAGCGACCGGTTCC